GCTAGCAGAGTAAATATATGTGTTGGTCACGAGGGGTACTTTTTAGTAGTAGAAATCGTACACCACATTTATGGCTCCACTGAGGGGAGGGGCTATGGCTCAGTGGCAGAGCGTCTGCTTGGAATGCAGAAGGTCCCGGGTTGAATCCTCGGCATCTCCAGTTAAAAAGGACCAAGCAGTAGGTGATAGAATCATAGAATCGTAGAGTTGGAAGGGGCCTCCAGGGTCATGTTGTCCAACCCCCTGCACAAGGCAGGAAATTCACAAATACCTCCCCCCACGCACACCCTCAGTGACCCCCTGTTCCATGGCCAGAAGATGACAAGAAACCTCCAGGATCCCCGGCCAAACTGGCCTGGAGAACAATCGCTTCTGGACCCCAAAGTGGTGATCAGCATTTCCATGGGTGTGTAAGAAAGGGTCACGGGAACTAAGCACTGAGGCAACCCTCCCTGCTGTGAAAGACCTCTGCCTGAGTCCATGGAGAGGGGCCGTGGCTCCATGGTAGAGCATCTGCTTCACATCCAGACGATCTCATGTTCAATCCCCAGCATCTCCAGTAAGGATCAGGTTGCAAGGGATGTGAAAGACCTCCACCTGAGACCCTGGAGAGCTGCTGCCAGTCTGAGTAGACAATACTGACCTTGCTCAACCCATGGTCTGATTCAGTATAAAGGCAGCTTCGTCTATGAGGTGTGCGCACCCAAATGCTCGAAGCTGCTTTCACTAGCCCCCTACTGATGATATGACATGTGCTGAAATCAACGCACAGAGAGGGGGAGCAGGTGCAAATGTGTTGCCTACTCCCGTGCATGATTGTTACCTTATGAATACAGGGTCTGCACATATTATGCACATGGTGTCCCTCCTTGTGATCAGGAACATCTGAAGAAGCTGTGTTCCCGAGCCCAGTCTACTTGGGGTGGAGCCACTAGGGTTGCCAACATCCAGGTGGCGGGCTGGAGTTCTGAAATGACAACTGATCTGCTGGCTACAGAGATCAGTTCCCCAGGAGAAAGCGGAATCCTCGGAGGCGATGATGTAGCCAGATGTTTTGCAGAGCAGCCGGGGGGAAGAGGGAGGAAGAGGGAGATTGGATTCATACCCCGCCCTTCACTCAGAGTCTCAGAGCAGCTTACAAACTCCTTTCCCTTCCCCTCCCCACAACAGACACCCTGTGAGGGAGGTGGGGCTGAGAGAGCTCTGACACAAACTGCTCTTTCTCAAAAAACAGCTGTGCCAGAGCTTGTGACTGAACCAAGGTCACATCAGCAGGTGCAAGTGAAGGAGTGGGGAATGAAACCCAGTTCTCCCAGACTGGAGTCTGCGCTCTTAACCACTGCACCAAACTGGCTCTCACACCAAACTGACTCTCAAACTGGAAGGGGAGGGGCAGCCACAGGGGTTCCCTGAACTTCAAGCCGCGATTTCACTGCTTGGAGATCAGGTGCGGACAGCCCCCGTTAGAGAAACAGCATTTAAGGGTTCCCTTTGAATGCTGTTTTTCTAGTGAGGGCTGCCACTGCCTGATCTCCAACTGGCGAAATGGCCGCTTAAAGTTCAGGGAAGGCGTGCGGCCGGCAGCCACCCCTCTGCCTCACCTCCTGCAAGATTTAATGGGCCTGCTGATCAGCTGGAGGGCTTTAAATCTTGGAGGAGGGGAGGGAGAGGGGTGGCTGCAAGATTTAAAGGGCCCTCCAGCTGATCGGTGGGCCATGTGCCATGCACTCCCATTGATCAGCTGGAGGGCCCTTTTAAT